CCCCAAAACCCCAAAACCCCAAAACCCCAAAACCCCTTAGAAAATGACAATATTGAGAAGAATAAAATATAAATATAATGGCGAATGAATATGAGAATGAATATTTTAACCAAAAGTTTTCTCGAAATCCTAAGATCAAACTACCGAAACTTAAAGGAGAGAAAAGTAAGCCTCTTTATTATCAAAGTGTGCTTAAGTGTCTACCAAAGTGGACTGTTAAGAGTTTGTACAGAATAATTACCTTCTTGTAACCTCATTTTTCATTGAGAGTAATCACAGTCTAGTCTTGAGGAAAAATAAGAAAATTCATGAAATTCAGGATAAATTTGAAAGGTAATTTAACGAACTTATTCCTTCATAGTCACCTCAAAAGAGAATGAATTAACCTATTTGAAATTGATAGGAAGTGATTCAAACAAATCTTAAACAAGCTCGGATACTTAGTTAACCTGCCTCAGGCTAACGAGGGGTATCTCAAGATTAGAGAACATGAAATGCAGGGAGATTTACCCACAGCTCTTGAGTCTTTATCAAGATGGATTTATGATACCTGTAAGTTTTAATAGTTTTTGATATTCCAAGATTAAAATTTATATCAAATCTTAGGTGAATGCCAGAATCCCTATAAGGAACACAAAAGGTCTAGCATTAAATCCTTTTCCAGAGTAAATAGAAGCGTAAGTAGCTACTCTTGCTAATTTCTACTTAAAACTCTTCCTAAAATGTTGAAACAGGTTGCTTCGATTCCAAAATCTCGAACAAGAAGAATATCTCAAGACTCAATGATGTATTCAGAAAGTCAGTACAGCTACAGAAAGTAAGGACTTTATTAAAATGTATAGCGCAAGTAGAGTGCAAAAGGTCAGTACAGAACCTTCCTTGCCCGATATGAAGAGCCTCCGTTCAAAATTAAACAAGCTGCTTCCAGACCCGAAGCACCCTTGGCGGGATCCGCTCAAGAACACTCCTTTCAAATGGTACGAACTAATAGACGTATCTTCAGGCTCTGAAGGAGAAGGAGACGAAGACGAGTAAGTCTCTGCAGCTTTAACCTATCCTAGCAAGTGAGACTTCTTAAGAAAACTCACAATAAACAGAAGAAAAAGAAGAGAAGAAACCGAATGAAAGATGCGTGAACTTAAAATGACACCTGAATACGGCATGAATGCAGCCAAGGGCAGGCTCAAGCTGAAAAAGAAAAGAGAGCATGACCTCCTCTATGATGAAGGGTAATTTGAGTTTTTACCACTTTAGTGTTGATAAATTAACATCCAGATTAACTTCAGAGCTAGCAAATAGTGTAGCAGCCTATAATCTCAAGATCTTGCTCAAGAAAAAGTGGTTTGAAGATAAGAAAAATTATAAAATCATGAGTAAATTGTCTAGAAAGCAAGAGGAGAGACTCTCAAAGGTAATACCAAAGCACAGGTTCTCATAATAAGTTATTAATCAACCTAAATTTTAGATTTAGGGGTTTTGGGGTTTTGGGGTTTTGGGGTTTTGGGG